TCGCTACGATCTCATTTTGAAGTACTAAGCGTCGATTGGGTAGCGTCTGACTTTCGCGCGACCGACCGATCCTTGGCACATGTGTAGGCTTCTCGCTAGTGTTCCTTAAATGAAGTCTGAGTTTTTGCGCGTAAATTGAACAGCTCGACGTCGTGTAATCGCGTTCGCAATCCTTGGGATCGTCTGCCCCAGCGACCAGGAAGGGAACGCTGATCGACCATCCCAGCATCGTCGTTCTCCGACTTTTCCCTCACAACAGCCGATGTTGCAGCGCTACCTGTTCTCCTAACGCGGGAGCACGGTAGCTGGCGCCCAACTCAAATAAACAAAGCTGCAAACGTTTATCGGCTGACTGCGTCGCCGACGACAGACTGAGGGCGAGGAGAGAATCGTCGTCTTTCGAACCTTTATCTTTTCCCCTCCCTTTGTCCCATCACACATTCAAGGATTTTTCGATCAGCTATACTTGTAAGCCTTTTGATGCATTGAAACCTAGTCAGATGGCTTATCATAATTAAGACCATAAATATTGGAAAAATCTTTTAAGAATATTTAAGTACGATGGAATTGAATGAATGAGAATTTCAAATTGAATATATACAGGGTGTCAATTAAGTCCCGGGACGCCTGAATATTTTCTGAAGTACTTCAGTTCTGAAAAAGGTCAAGATCATTCCTTTAGTAACTTTCAACGCGGAATCCGATGGTGACCTTGGATTTGACCTTGAGATTGACCCTCAGGGTTATTTCAAGGTCAACTTTATTTTTTTAAATAGGAACCCCTATTTTTGACAACGGCAATCGAAAGAGCGGAAAATTTTACGTCCAAAACGGTATTTTTAAATTTTTTTTCATGGCCGTGAGAAGGTCGATTTAAGGTCAAATGCTTGAAAAACTGCCTAAAAGCGTTTTTTTAATTTTTAAGATATCGAAAAATGACCTCTACAAAATTTGTTCAGAACAGAGGGGGCTACCGAATGCACCAAAAACCTTTGACCTTTAACCTCATTTTGAAGGTCATTTCAAGGTCGAAGTGTTTTTTGTAATGGAAACCCCTATTTTTGACCCCGGATTCGCATATAGCGCGAAATGGGCATTAGCTACTTTCAAATTTATTTACATTATAGTCTACGGTTCGACGAGGAATATTGAGAATATTAGCAACCTGACGATTACTTTTACTATTTATGTGTAATCCAATAACGTGATAACGTTAACCCAAATCTCTTGGTGTTATACTTCAATAATACTTCAACAATATATTACTATGGCAAAAAATAATAAACGAAGGTTACATAAACATTTATTTTTTATTTTTTTTAATCATTAATTATGATTAGTTTTAATAGGTTAGATTAATTTTTCTACTTATATTGAGACAAAAAAAGCAACAAAAATGTTCTTATTTCAAATCAAATATTATTTTCATGACTGTTTTGTTTCAAAAACCCTATATCGTATTATGACTGTTTCTTAATAGTTGTTAAACTGACTCAGATTTTTCGTTGATCGAGATATGCATAGAGTTAAAATTTGTCTGTAGTAAATAGAATAGCTTCACATATAAATGATCTTTTTTATTCTTCCAGACTAAAGAAAAATAAAAAAATTAGGCTACTTGATATTATGACTGAAAAAAAATGATTTCATATGATTATAAAATTTCGTTTACGCATTCTCCTTTACGACGGTAGTTGATTAGATTAATTGATCCGTTCGCAATTCGTCTACTCGCGATATTAGTTCGAACGACTAAGAGAGAGAGAGAGAGGGAGCGCCAGGTTTTGAAAATGGGCAGTTAAGCCTCAGCTGCTTTCACGATAATATTACCGTGTTTAGTTTTTGCACTGTGTTTTGCCGTTATAAATCGAAAGTTTCCTGGGACTATTTTATTCGCGCGAGAGTGCAGCAATCAATTAGCAGCAGCATTTACAGAAGCAGCCAGCAGCAGCATTTACAGCAGCAGCAGTAAAAGCAGCAGCAGATTTGAGTGTGAGGCAGCACAGCTGATGCGAGGAGCATATTTGCGTTTATTCATCAACAATTATGGATGATCACCGTAATTGTACCGCAGGGTAGGTGCAACTCTCTTTATTATTGCGCGACAAAATACTTTCGAAAGTATTTTGTCAATCGCGATCGTAAATTTTTGTATTCGTACCGAGCGTTAGATTTCGCGGCAATTTTCGAATCCTCTCTCTCTCTCTCTCTCACCGAATTATAATTTATAATTGTAAATCCTATCGCGTGCGTTAGTCTTTCGGCCCATAAAAGATTGTAGTTTTTATTGATTAAACTTTGTTAATTTTATTCGCCGTTTACGTCATTTCGTTTTCTATTAGCTTAATAGATCTATAAAGGCTTAAGTCTTAATTCGATTTCGTCTAGGGGATTAGGCGGATTAGGCATTAAGTCATTCATACTGAAGATAGATCGAGTGTCACAAGTCAAGTGACTTAAATTGAGTTCAACTCGGTTTGAAAGAAGACACTGAAACGAAATCATCAAACGTAATGGCGAATACACGTATAACTATACTTACTTAACGGAGCGGCGGTTAGCTTTGCAACGTGGGAGTTTGTGCGTTAATAAATTTCTCATTTTTGCTAGATAACCACCCCGTTACACCTAATAAAATAGAGCATTTTCTTCGAAGTATATTTTTGTTCTACAATTCGAATTTTCCGAGAGAAAGAGCAATGAATATGGACGCTGTTTTTTTTCTACGATTTTTCTGCTCGAAATGGCGAGCGGTTAAAGAAACAACAAAAGTTTCGTAATTTTTGTTTTGACATTCGCCCCTCTATACAAAGGGAAATATGTTAGTATATTTTTCATATGCACCATTCAAAAATGCCTGAAAGGACCTTTCAAATGAGCCCTTGCAGAGCTCTGTAAGTTTATTTTCAGCCGATATATAGAGTTTCAAAGTTAAAGTCGTTTTTTCTTCGGGTGGGTAAAGATTATTGGGCGGGAGTGTACATTTATATATTTTTATTTGAAGAGAAAATAATTTTCCTTCATTTTACCGATTTTGTACAGCATTTTTTCAAAATTGAATTGTCATGAATATTAAAAGTTACATTTCAACAAATGACGATTTGAATAAAGACTGAAAGAGAAAGTACCAGTGAAGGTCACATCGTGGCATTAGAGAGCGTGATCCAAGATCAGTTCTCGATTGTACAGACCTGCAGAAAGTATGCAGCAATTGCTCTCTAGAAGAAAGATTTAAGAAGGATTTAAGAAGGATTTAGAGGGCTTAAAGCCAACCGAGATAAAGATCTTATCAAAGTAACATCTGCTTTAGATTAGACGTTTTCCCTGATAGTATGCACAGGCTAGCTCTCGTGACTCTGAAGGTTGTTCTTTCTTCATTGACTCAAGGGGACGTGATAAGGGCTAGAGTCTCGTGGCCTCGTCACCGGCCCACTGAAGTCGCTACGGGTGCGGGGTTGATAAATTGTATGGGACAGTGGGGGTCGGGATTACTCTTACCCTCATGCATTGCAAGGGTTAGGGATGATGGACTGCTTTGCAATTTAATGAAAGTAAAGCGCGGTATGTCCAACACTCACATCACCACAGAGAATCTGATAAACCATATAAATGACATATACGCGATTGACTTGCCTGGTGTTGACGTGCAGGAGGGTGTATTTGTTCCATTCTGTGAGGAGATAATTTGTCTTGGGGGCGTGCTCGATAGTAAGCTATCGCTCGTGAAAATCGCACATCGACTGGGTTGCAGCTAAAGTCAGGAGAGCTCTGTACGGCCTGTGCTTTATTAGATCGTGTAGTACGGTTGCAGAGACTGAGCAATGCATACGTGATATACTTCTTTGTATCCCACGCGAGGGCATCGAACTCTCCATTTAGATGGAGGTCAGGCTGGATTCGTGTGGACGTGCACAAGGAATATTTTGTGTCCCTGCTCATATACAAGTGCCTGTGTATGCTGGTGCCTGGCTACCTAGCTGAGCTCTTCCCTAGGCATAAGTCAAGATATCCGGTTAAGGGGGGGGCAAGGCGGAGATGGCGCGCAGGTCTTTTCAGATGATGTGTGCCCGTCTTTGAAACACCCTTTCCTTGGATCTGAGGCATGCGCCGTCGCTTGGCAGCTTTAAGAGAAGAGCGTGCGAGTGCTTTGCTTGATCACGTAGGATACGGGGTGCTACTGGAGCATTTACTTATTTATTTGTGTTGTTTTTTTATTATACAATTTAGTGTTAAATGACGAAAACTAGTCGTAAATGTACTTTTGGCTGATTACTAGTTTTAAGAAATACGCAATCTAGTCTGTAGTGACAAATATTAGTGTTTTTTTCTGCGGAATTTTTAATTATATAACACTAGTTTATTTCCACATACTTGTGATATTCTTGTGATACCTTGTGATACGGTATGATTTTGAAATAGGATAATTATTGTATGTATTGATAAATGCTGTATATATTCTGTATTTTATGTTTTGCCATTATAGCAAATAAAGGGGTATCTATCAATCAATCAACCTCTCTTTCTCTCACTTTCGCACTTGCTATTTTCTATTGCGGTCGCTTTTTGATATACTTGTGTGCTTTAACAAATGCCCGATGATTACAATATTCATAATTCTAAACAGTAAATTGAAACTCCTAATAATAATAAATTTATTTTTTCACGAAAAATAAATTTAATATTATTGAAAAATAAATAGTTTTTTCTGAATTTAAAAATTTATATCATATAATTCTACTAACAATTGAAATTTCTTTACTGCAATAATTGCTTTTAATTACAGGTTTTACTTCTATAAAAATATTACAAAAAAAATCACAACTAAATCTTAAGATTTCGTACATGTCATTTTACTTCTCAAGGAATTGTGCTAAAAAACACGAAACTGCATTAAAAGATCGTCAAATATATCTTAAAATATTATTAAATTAAAGTTTTTATATCGTTCTTGTTTTGGTTAGAAATGGAAAGAAAAAAAAACGTAAGACTCAACATCGTACCTGTGTAAAAGTCGTCCTATGCCTACGCCGTGCAGGTGTCGGGCAACTTGCTGCAGTTGGTGTATGACCTATATGTGGGCTGACTGCACAGGGCTCAGGCTTCAATTTCTTAAAAGCACCTTCTGAACCTGAAAATTTATCAATAATTATTTATTTGGCTCTTTTTTAGCTTAAAAATATTAAAAATTGAATTTAAAAAAAAAATCTTTTAACTACAATTTTGAGGTAAAAACATATTCTTAAAAAATTTATACTATGGTTTCTTAAACTTATAAATATTTTGATGTTTATGATCTTCTAATATTTCATATTCTCCTTTGCCAAGAAACTTCTCTAATTGATGATAAGTTCAATGCCGTTTTTATCTGCCAATATTTTCATTAACATTAAAGTGTGGGATATTCGCTGTGTATTAAGTTAGTATTGAGAGAGATACAAATCTTTATTTCATTATGTTAAAAATTGATATAGAAACGTTACTGGTAACTAATTATTAATTTTTTGGAATTGAACTCTTAATCTTTCGGTATATATGTGTTTGGAATGACGAATGGGAATAAGTAGTGTTTGAAATAACTTATAGTCGAAATTTATTTAAAACAAATTTTAATTAAGAAACACCCGAAGTCTAACACTAACTAAGGTGATAAAACGACGCGAAAAACAAATAAAAAACTTCAACGCAAATACAAACTTTCGCACGCGTACAAAGGCGACTTGCCTGCTCGAGAGCTCGAGAAATTCTGCTGGACACTCCTTTCTCAGGTCATTTATTGGCCCTCAGTCCTCCTCCCTCCACTCGTTTTTTCGTTTAGGACTCGAGAGGCGTGGCTTTTCAGAAAATCGCGTGCTACTAACGTGCCCGTTTGCATCCTCCTCTTCTAACTCTTCTCCATGCCAATCGGCCTCGGCGCCCCTGTGGCTCTCCGATCCGCATGTGAAGTCACCCGAGGTAAAACCCCCTTTCGAGAGTGATAGCCTCGGAAAAACTTGTCTTTCGATCTGTATTAATAGCGTAGTGGCCATGGGTCCGCACATTTGCGCCCACGCACACATAGAAGGTATCAGGGAGGGAAAAAAGAACAAACGGCACCGCGAGTATCAGTGCTGCATTCATCTAAAAATTGCTTAATCATTTCGATAAAAAACTTTCTTTTGACAACTACGTTTGAATTTTCATTTTCTCAAATACACGGCTTACAAAACTACGCATAAAATTAAGCTAATGAACATCATTCATTACACGGCAAATTATTGCTAAACACACTCGTTCTGTCACTCGGTTCGGTCGTAAATATCTCACTTTCGAAACGCTAGAACGGTTTACAGATGTCGCATAATAACTCGGACGTGCCTAACTTCGAGATTAGGGCAATTAAGATCATCGGGCGGTGGACGAGCAAACAGTCGAAAACAATAAAACCAAAGCGTGTTCTCACCATGTCGGCATAACGAAATGTTAAAATGTGAAAGACAACTGGACTACTTATTTCCTCCATGTGTCTAGCAACGGCCCGTCGGCAGGTATGCTTGCCATATGCGATCATCTGCCTTTTACCAACACAGTTATTTTTTCGTCGTTCTAAACAATATGCTACTCCATGCTCTATAGCGAGAACATCCAGTTGAGGAGTAAATTGATAAATCATTGTTGCCACCGTTAATAAAACAGGAACAGAAGTGTAAAATTATAAGGGGATGTAAGTAGTGAAACCTAAAAAATACACTAGTGTAAACGAGCAGTTATCGTATGCCCTTACTCTTCGTTAATCTCCCGTAGTATGGCTATTCATTCTAGCCTAGTTCTGTCTCTCTTTTTTTAGTTACGTCTCTCTCTCTCTCTCTCTTTCTCTCTCTCTCTCTCTTTCTGTCTCTTTCTATCTTTTACTCTGTCTTATTCAACGCAAGTAATTTTTTCTCGTTGAGAACGCTATGCTACTCCTGCTAGCTAACGATTTCGTTCTCGCTCTCGTTTTCTTTCATTAAAACAAACGATCAGTCTCTTCTATAGCATATATACAATATTATACACACATTGTAATTATACTATATATGTTGCTTATTCATTCAGTAAATCATGTGACGAGGGCAAGCAGTACGCTTGCTCTTCGTCTGCCCTTCTTCTCTCTCTCCCTCTTATCGCTCGGCATGGCGACGTGGTCAGCGTTCGGCGCATATATTTATTGCGCCTAACCACTGGCCTTTATGTTTTTCCAGCCGCCGAAGATTGCCGAGCAAGATTGAGAGCGCCCGAAGAAACAAGAGCGCAGCGACTATGAGGTAGAGAGAGACAGAGAGAGAGAGAGAGAGACAGAGAGAGAGAGAGTGAGAAAGAGAGAGAGAGAGAAAGAGAGTATTAGGCCTATGCAGGGATTGGCAGGCGCGCAACGCGTGACTGATAAGCGACGCGTCGCGTGCCGCCTAACTAATAGGTCAAGGTAGGGAGAGGAGCGAGCGCCGCAGAGCGACTGCAAGAGGCGCGCAAGAATTAGTGCGTGAGAGAGTCGCAGCCGAGCCTTACTAGAGTGAGGTAGTTCCCGAAAGAAAGTTGAGGAGAGAAGTTGGAAGTAGCAGCGCAATGAGAGAAGAAGTACACGAGCAGCAGTGACCAGACCAGGGCGAGCCGAGGCAACGTGTGGAGGCAACATCTGCAGCAGGGTATTCAGTGTCGCCCTCGCCGCCATGCACGGCATGACTTCCAGGGGATTCACCACGGGCTATGCCGAGGAAGACATCCAGCCAGCGGCCAGGTCAACTCCCCGTTGCCGGCTCATCGCCAAGGACAAAGGTCAGGTTATCTCTCTCCCCCGGTGTTTCTCTCTCTCATGGTGATGCGCGGCCGCGTAGGAACGATAGGTAGCCAGGCGATCACTTGCCGGCTACGCTCATCGTAATGCGGTAGAGAGGTTTCAACGTATTTTTTCCTTTGTAAGGAGGTAAATGGCCAAGGCGATTTAGTCGCCTGGCCATTCGTCCTCCCGCGTTAGTTTAAGTTGTTCTGTATATGTGCGCGTGATGTAAACGTTATTGTAACTGATTTTGTATTTGTTTGTCTGAATAGATTTAAGTTGAACGTTCCAAGCAAAGAAAATTATTTATTCGTTCGACCTATCCTCTCGTTCCCCGATTGTTAAAGAGCGAAAGTGCCTCTCTTACTCTCCCCTTAATAAATTAGTGACGTCAGTGCCGAATAAGGCGCTGCCCCCGTTACAATCAATATAATTTGTTTCTTAAGGTATTTAAATGTTATACAAAAATGAGCAAAACCGAAAATCGTGTGTAAATCAACATCTTCCGTCATTGCAAGTAACTGATCTCTTATTAGCTGTAAATAACTATTCCCGTTAACGTTTTCTTCAAAAAAATAAGGACCGATCAAATAACTATTGATGATTACACACCAAACCATCAGGCTCCAACGCCTCTGGTGATTCACAGTTCTGTGCCGATGAGGATTTTCATTCGATCAATAGTGGCAATTATGCCTACTAAGTTCTTCGTCACTTTGGAATTTAGCCTCATCAGAAAAAAGGACATAGTTGAAAAAAATTGGATCATTCTTTATCATCTGCAAGGCCCATTGGCATAACGCAATTCGCTGTTGGAAATGTGCAGGTTGTAACTCCTGGACCAAAGTAATATGATAAGCATGATATTTTAGGATTCTGAGAATTCTTAAAACTGTTCTTCTTGCTATACCATGCCCTCTTTCAATTCGGCGACTACTGGTATGAGGATCAAGGTGAATGATTGCAAGAACAACCAGAACACGTACATCATTCGCGTCATACACGTGACGCTGCGTTGCCTAACCAAACGTCCACGACGAGCTCTCTGAGTTATGTGACTTATTTATCTATGATCTGGGTGTTGTTGGTTAGGAAAGCGTTCAGCGTAAAGTCTAGCTGCAGCACGATAATTATTATGACTAGTCCCTAAAACCAATAATATATCCATAATCTTATTCGGCTGATAGTCAGGCATTTTTAGAGGTTTCAATCACTCAAACAAAATTAAGATCACGTAATTTCAATCGGAACTTGCAAGACTGATGGAAATAGAAAATTTGAAAAATTACTCAAATTTCATGATTAATTTCCTTTTAATGATTTTCCAAAAATTGGAACGTAAAGGAATTGAAGTTAATTTGTTTTTGTTAAGTTGAAGAATGTTTCATATATTTGTAGTATGATGTTGCATTAGTAATTTTTTGCAATGAATATTTAATTTACATGTAACATAATTCTGATTTTATGTAAGTACAAAATACAAATAATAACTTTAAGATTATCATCTGAATTTTGGAATGGTGACGTCAGAACATGACAATAAATATCTACATAATTCTTTAATGAGAAAAACATAAAAACGAAAGCTTAGTCTATAACCGAACATGAAGGCGGAATGACCTTGAACATAACCTGAAAGTTCAAAGGCAAGGTCATACAGATATGTACCCTTGAGAGTTAAAGAAACTTGTTTGAAGAGTTTACGCTTAACCTTAGGCGTCCCAGACAATTCGGGCCGGAAAAATGACCTGTACATGGCCTTGGGGTTCATGCGGATCCCACACATATTATCTTATATAAACGTAGAATTTCCCGCTCTTCCGAATCCGGGGTCAAAAATAGGGGTTCCTATTTAAAAAAACAAAATTGACCTTCAAATGACCTTGAACATGACCTTAGAGGTCAAAGGCAAGGTCACAGGGATATGTCCCCCTCAAAGTTGGGCAACTTTCATCTGAACTATCTTTCGCTAACCCTCATAGTTCCCGAGAAAATCGACTGGGTCATTTAAAATGGCCCAGCCTGTATATAAGACGTTTTAAACAAATGAAAAGCGAAAGATTGAACTATACATAACTTTTATTTTAGTGTCTAAGAGTAACGATTTTCAATATGTTCAAATATGTCTTTGTAAGAGTTTACGCGTCTAGTAGATAGAATTAATAGGAAATGCTTTAATTACCTGTGCGTATTAACCCATTAACGTCCAAAATGTTAAAATTTCTTGCACGTTTTCAAAGTGATTTTTTCCTATGTAATTGGCATTGAAAAAATTCTTGAACCACATATTCTGATGTAAAATTGCATGCTCTTTCAGAATCCGTTGCCAGAATCATGAT